AAAAAAATATTAATTAAAGAAGGGATTAAGTTAAGTAAAACATGAAATACAATAAAAACATGCACCAAAAGGCAAGTAAATAACTACATTATAAAATGGCGACATGGGCGTCAATTACATTTATGACAGATAAATGCCAAAAGCAATAGAGATAACCATAGATGGACGATGTCAATTTATGCTGTAAACAATAGATAATTGATAGAAGCGAAACCATAGATGCCAGAGAAATAATTAAACAGTAAAACAACCGCTTACCTCAAATATATTCTTCTATGGTATTCGTTTTATTCATAAGCGTTGATAACAGAGAAGTTTCTCCAACAATAGATGCTTGAGAAAGGGAAAATAATACCACTGATGATGAAATGAGCCACATAGTAGAAGACATCACGTGTGTAACTTTATATACATCGGTGTCAATTGGACTGCACGTATTTCTAAAAATTGCACCTTTCATGTCCAAGGGAAGGGAGCATTAATGGGACTCCACTCCTCCAGGTTTCCAGTCCTTCTAATTTTTTTACCTTGTTAAAACCTGTTGAAACAATTTAATGTTATTATCATCTCAAGTATTATGTTTTAAAATATTAAGAACCATACTTCCATCAATCAAATAAGATACCATCAAATTAAGTAATTAACTACTACAATTCAGAAGAATTAAAAATTACAGTAATAATTAGTGTCAAACAAATGGAATACAACATTTAGAAAATTAAAAATTATTTTGTAAATGCAACTATAAAATAATTAAAGATTTCTTACCCTTTCTACAAATGGTCCCTTTTCAAGCACAAGAGATAGAAGCGTGAGTGGGGCTCTGCTTCCGCACGTTTCGAGTCCTTTTGATTTACCCTTTCCATGTTCACAATATTAGGATTTAATGGAAACCTGTTGAAAGAACTTAATATTAGTTATATGTTCACCAGGCGTTATTATTTTATTATTAACGATAATTACCATTGTTAACATTTGGGCCCCATGATTTTTTCGACTAGCTCTTTACCATTTCTTGAAATATAACTCTGACTGCCACAATATTACATCTGTAAGTAGTTTGTCTATCTAATCCAAGGGTATTATTTCTTGGTAAGCCTATATTATAAAAATAAAACAGTCGTTAAAACCAAATCTACAGAATAACAAAGCAAGTTTTTTTTGAGAAATTTAGAATTTTAAAGGCACAATAATATCTTTGAGAAATACTTTACATTTCATTACAAAATGAAAACAATCCTCACGACGTGGTTATATAAATATGAAAAATCTGCAAACATCGCCTGAAACTGTTTTCAAAATTCAAAAATTCTAACAAAACCCTAGTTATTCCACCTCAGATAAACCGAAAACGTAAAAAATTCACAGTAGATGGTGGTGGACAGGTAAGATGCCATGATGAACTCCGATGTTGAAACACGAAATCGTTTACGCCAAAAAAACCTAAGCACAGTAATCGACACCCCCTCAATCACTAAATAGGAACGTATTCCACACAATTAAATGAAAATAGGATAAGGATTAGGCTAAATACCTTCAGGCGTTGTCTTCGTTTATGGACTACAAAACAGGCGACATGTCGTCTTCTCGAAGATCGAACACACTTGACTATGACAGAATGAGATCGCAGGAAGACCCACAGATGAAAATTCCTTCTTCTATACTTATGATACATAGATAATAAGTTTTATAGGTGCGCTCAATTATAATTATTCGGCTTAATTCGTAAACAGAAACCGACCGCCTTGAAATAGTTTCCACAACGCATTCAAAAATATGTGAGTGAGGTTCTTTGGCATCAGCCCGTCTTTACTTGCTCAACCTTGATAGCGAATACTGAGAAAACTGAAAAATAATACAATAATATATTAATTTAATAATGTAGTTTCTTATTTGTATTTGCATTTTTAACTTAATGTGACCCAAAGTTATAAAGGAGACATTAGTAACTGCTAAGAGATCTGTATAAGAATAATAAATTGTTATAAAAAATGGATATTAGTAAAAACGTCATTATTTAAATTGAAATTAAAAAGTGACTACGGGGTTTTTACTAATCTCAATAATTTATTACAATTTATTATTATTA